GGTTTATGAAATATAAACTCAGGTTTATGACATATAAACTCAGGTTTATGTCATATAAACTCAGGTTTATGACATATAAACTCAGGTTTATGAAATATAAACTCAGGTTTATGTCTCAGGTCATTACAGTTATTAGGCTGTAGAGAGTTAACCCTGGTACGGTCCTATCTGAACACTCAGACATGGGACACATGCTTATAGATTGTGTGACTCACACTTCCTGAAGATATCGTGACATGTGACACATCTAACGTCCATCGCTGATAAAAGTCACAAATCAGCTCAGAATCCGTTAAAAGACGCTTCAGGTTTCAAAGTATGTCAGTGATACTCGTCTGTACAGTTATGAGTTCACTGCAGACAACAGCTGCTGATAGCTAAATCTTCATACTTCTAAAGGTAAAACGAGAGCCCCCCCCCCCCCCAAGGCATGATGGGAGCTGTAGTCCTGTACCTGGGTAAGGCCTTCCCGTCCAGCTGGAGCTTCCTGAAGGTTTCTGCGTACTGAGGAAGCTCCACGCTGACACACAGCCAGTCCTCCACCTGCTGCACCGTCCAGTTATACACTGAAGACATGGAGGAAGAGCATCTGTTACTTCACTTCATTAGTTCTGTGTTACTACGTCTTCATGCAGAAGAAACAATACGACTGAAGGTTACGTCATCGTTGTGACAAATTGAGCTGGAAGCTAAAAAATAGGATTTTATTTTTACACACAGTTCTGCTTTTGAATCTTTCAACATCTCTTTTTCATTCATCCTCTCTTTCTTTCCTTCCTTCATCCTTTTTTCTCTCTTTCTATTCTTTCTTCTTTCCTTTGTCTTTTTTATCTAATTCCTTTCTTCTTGCTCCCACCTTTGCTTCCTTCCTTCCCTTGTTTCTTTATCCTTCCTTCCTTCTTTCCTACTTTCTGTCATCCCCTCTTGACTTCTCTTCCTTTCTTTCCTTCCTTCCATCCCTCTTCTCTTGCTTTCCATCTTTCCTTTTCCTACTTTCTTTCTGTCCTTCCCTCCTTCATCCCCTTTCCTTGTTTCCTTCCCTTTCCATACTTCTCCCTTCCTTTCAGAGTTCTTCTCTCCATCCTCTCTTCTTTCTTTTCTCTCAATATTTCTCTTTTTTCCCATTTATTTTTCTTTCCTCTCCTCTCCTCCTCATTCCTCCCTTTTCTGCTTCCTTCCTTCCTTCCTTATTTTTTCCCCTAATCTTCCAAAGCCGATAAATCTTTATCTCTGACGTCTTTAAAACAACGTGAACCTTAAATGTACGATTGCTAAAAGGCGGTTTAGTTCCCTGATGAAGTGAACGTGTCCGTGTTCTATTTACAGACTCGGAGGAAACATGAAGAGTTTCCTTTGTTTTGTTGAACTTTTCTTCTTCTGCAGTTTATCGGCTCAGTGTTGAATTCATCCTGTTGAAGAGGAGGAAGTGTGGAGGACGGACGCACAGACAGAGAGGCCTGAAGCTCATCGATGTGCTGCTGTACCGTCAGTAAAAGATGAAATGATCTATTTATAGCTCCTGGAGACGTCCTCTGGGAGTCTCCATCTCATTGAATGTGTCTCTGTGTTCACATTTAAAGAGATTTTTCACTCAAATTAATTCTAAACTGACGTTAAAATTCCCGAACAGCAGAGTGAAGACGTTAACGTGAACGCTGCCTTCAGCTGACGGTAATCACAACATGTCGTCTTCACCTCCGGAGCTCTTCCAGGCCGCCCACATGTCCTCCACGCTGATGTGCAGGTCGGCTCGGTGGAAGCTGCTGTGTTTGGCTTTGGAGTCGTGAGACTTCAGATCCTCCCTGAGAAACTGAGGGAGCGGTTGGACAAGTTATTATTTATTATGTGTAAAAAGCAGGACAATAACGATCTTTAGTTTCCGTCTCACCCCGTCCGTCTCCGTCGTGTCCACCGAGCCATCGGCGTCGTCGTCCATCAGCTTGTGGATGCTGCAGATCGCCTCGAAACTCAGCAGAGCGTTCTCATCCTCACAGAGCTGCTGGTCTATCGCACACAGATCTGCAACACAGCAAATACCAGCAGAAAGAATATGATTATTATTACCACCATTACTATTCAATGCATCCAGAAACAGGGGAAAGGTACGGAGCATGCAACGGGACATTCTGAGGACAGAAAACGTATGATTGTGAAGATAGATTATCATTGTTTTATCATTATAAACATAAAGAAATGAGTCAATTTAACACGATCATTGTGTGGATCATAGCAAACATGTCAATAAATTCATGGATCAAAGAACAGATTTTTGTTAAATTATTATTTGGGGGATAACAATTACGATAAAATATGAATTCTGTGCATGAAAAATAATATTTTTCTGGCCTCAAAATGTTGGACTGCATGCTAAGAATTTAAGATAATAACTCGGTGAAGAATCAAACCTGCAAACAAAAAGAGACGACGACAAACAACAAGAGGACGAGTTAACGTCTTCTCTGTGTGGAAGAACGGAGACGGATCACAAGACGTCTCAGACTTTATATAAATACTCTGAATTCATAATCTGACTTCAGTAAAAGTACTACAAAGTCACAGTAGAGTTTATCATTTATCAACATTATTATTATTATTAATAATTTATCTTATTTACTTCTCCTTCTTGCACAAATACCTGCACATATATATACACACTTAGTACACTATACATATATTCAAATCACGTCTGTTTCATGTCGTGTGTAAACGTATTTTTGTAAAATATTTTTTGACACCTTATCTCCTTATTTTTTATTTTTTTTAATTGATTGATTAACTGATTCAAATAAACTAGAAACGCTGCATTAATATATCAAATAATATCTGAATCAATCATAATAAAAAATATATATTATATATTATACAGATAATAGCTGGAGATGTTTTCTTCATTTGCATGTATTTTGACCTTTAGAGCCACCATAGAATAAAAGCTCCTTTTCAATAGTGTTCTGTCTTTATATTCAAGCACAGGAGGAACTCCCGTTAGCCTCGGCTAGCAGCTAGATGCTAACAGCTGGATGCTAACAGCTGGATGCTAACAGCTGGATGCTAGCAGCTGGATGCTAACAGCTGGATGCTAGCATCCTCGATCATCCATCTCTTCATCTCCCGCTGTTGTCATGACAACAGAGCCCACCTAAACAGACCGGAGTGAGAAGTTCATTCATGACTCCGTTTGGTCATTTCAGCCTCAAACATGTGAGTCTGCATGACCGCTCAGCTGAGAGAGAGGGAGGGAGGGAGTGTGTGTGTGTGTGTGAGTGTGCGAGAGTGTGTGTGTGTGTGTGTGAGAGTGTGTGTCTGTGTGTGTAGGTGTGTGTGTGTGTGAGAGT